AGCAATAAGAAAACAAATGAAGGTTCTGGCTTGCGTAGATCCTGACAATAAGTCACATGAAGACCAAACCCAAACCATGCACACCCTTATTAAAGCTGGTATGGCGTAGGTATGAATACGGAAACACGTGATTCCATTGTTCAGATTGCAACACTGCTACTCCATAGAGTTGGGCAGTTATATTTCAGTTCATAGGAAATTTTGCCTTATCCCATTTCCCACCTCAGGTAATCTTATAAGTGAACCTGATCTTAGTTAGTTAGATTCACAATTCCTATAAAAATGTTATTCTCCATTTATATAAGCCGTTTGTTTCATACTTTGATTCACAGTACCTCCCATCCCAACACAGAGGGAGAGGGGAAAAAAATTCACTGCAACTCCTAATTGCAACTCTTGAAAAAATGGACCTAACTCCAAAACTACAATGTTATGCTGTCACTGCAGCTCTAAACATCTTGATGGCCAAGCATCTTTCCCCTCATGGATTAAAAGAAAAATGGGGCTGAAGTTGATTTTTTCTCCCTTTTGTGTGGAGAAAGGCAGCCATGGAGATGGCCTTGGAGAAGGTATCCAGAAGCCATTAGGACAACAGCAGGTTCTGAAGCATGTATTAAGCCCAGGGGGGTGGGATAGTATTAGTAAAAGACTCAGACTGGCCACTTCTGATTCCCTGGAGTATAAGAAGAAGGAAAGGAAAAACACAGGCAGACTTGCAAGATTCTGTTGGTATGGCCTATCTCAATAATGTAAAGTTCTAGTCTTCATGGAGAGTCAATCTGATCTGGTCTACCTTGTAGAACTAACAAGGATTTTTTGTTACTTCAGGAACTGCTGTAGTGCAGGGATCTGCAATCATTTTTTGCATTCTCCCATTGGCTGGAGGGAGTCCTGATGGAGCACAGAGCTATTCTTAGTATTCTGTGGTCAGCAGGAATGAAGTTAATCACCCAGCCACATTCATAATCCTTTGGACAGATTGGAGAGTGGAAACCATGCCTTGTGGAAGGTCTGAACTTCTCCAGTGAGATCTTTCTCATAAAACTCATGTCGGTGCTTTTATCCCCCTTTTGAGAAGCAGCTTAATTTTTGAAAGTAGGTCACCTAAAAACGCAAGACTGTTTCCATTGGTTACAGAAAGGAAAGACTTAATTTAGAACCTCATTTTCAGCCATGGAAAGATTTGCTTGTCTTAAATGTTGTGGCTCAGAATATCTGGCAGTCACATTGTTAACATTTTTAAGTGAATCCTTTCTAGAGACTAAAATTCTTTGTGATAAATATGATTTGTCTTCATACACCTAGCTTCAGGTGGTAAAGAGTTAGTTACCTGCAAAAGTCTCTTTACCACAAAATCATTACCGATGAAGCAAATATCAAGGGAAATCCCCCAGGATTGTAGAAAAATAATGATATAAAGAGATGATCCCAAGAAGATTTTATTTAGATAAAAAGTTGTGAACACTGTAACATTATTGTGTTCACTCTTCTCTTGGAAAACAACTACCCTTGCTACTTACAAGAAAAAATGCCAGCCAGTGGAGGAAAACCTTTTCTATGGAGTTGATATTTTTTCTTTATAACAACCAGCATTGGGTTGGAAAAACCTTTTTTCATTTGTCTGCTGGATTCGTTCAATGTGCTAGACCAGGGTTTCTCAACCTTGGCAACTTTAAGAACTGTGAACTTCAACTCCCAGAATTCCCCAGCCAGCAAGGTCTTAAAGTTGCCAAAGTTGAGAAACACTTTGCTAGACTAAAAAGTGCTTGGTTAGCTTACAACTCAGTATGTTATGTGATCTTTAGGAAGGTTTTTTATTTCCAGTCTGGCCTATAGTCCTGGTATTCTCTGGTGCTTTCCCAGAGAAGGTAATCAACTGCTACTGTCTTCAGAAATGTTGCCTTCTTACTTTCAGGCAGTGACAAAATGCCTGATCCATACATAAACTCTTTAGTCAATATTTACAGGATTTAGATATAGATGTTCCTAAATTGGCAACAGTTTAACTGTTGTAATCATTCTATTTTATGTGTATGATGCCACAGTATGGTCTCTAACCTAAGCTGGTCTTAGGAGAGCACTTAGTCCAACCCTACAAGGAAGCACATTCGGTCATAAACCATAATCAAACTAAAATTCTGGTATTTTGCAATGTCACTAAAACCCACAAATGGCACATAAATAATCAAGCCACTGAGCCAATGAGAATTTTCAAATATCTAGGAAGAGAGTTCACACTTCACAAAGCAATAAGACTCAATCAAACTCTACTGCCTTTGTGGCATCAACCATACTAAGACTGAATCACATCCAGGGAAACCTCTATCTCAAGTGCAGTGCAACTTTTTATAGCCAACTCAGTTTCTCAGCTACTAATATGAAGCACAACTGGGCCCTTGTTCAAAATTTGGACTCTATGAAAAAGTACAGAATATAAGGCATCTGATAAACAAATGCAACTGAGAGCCGGTTTGGTGTAGTGGTTAAGGTGCTGGCCTAGAAACCAGGAGGCGGTGAGTTCTAGGCCTCGCTTAGGCATAAAAACCAGCTGGGTGACTTTGGGCCAGCCACTCTCTATCAGCCCAACCCACCTCACAGGGTTGTTTTCGTGGGGAAAATAGGAGGAGGAAGGAGTATTAGATATGTTTGCCCCCTTGAGACAGGAAGGAAGGAAGGAAGGAAGGAAGGAAGGAAGGAAGGAAGGAAGGAAGGAA